TGTACATATATATGTGTGTGTGTATTTGTGTAGATGTGTATATATGTGTGTTTGTTTACGTATATATATGTGGTTTTCTGCATGTGTTTTTTTTTTGTTTTTTTGCTTTTTAAGTCTCTTCCGCTGTGTTTTTCAGTGTTTTAATGAGTGATGGTCACTCATTGGCCTGACAGGTGTATTGTGTCCAAATTTGGTGTCAATTCATCCAATGGTTTTTGGGTTATGTTAATCCCACAAACGAACATTACATTTTTATTTATGTAGATAATACATTTATGCTGAAATTGTACAAAAATTCTATAGAAAGTCATTTTAATGTGACAATTATTTGTGTTATATGGGGACCTTGTGTTTATGTTGAATCATATTTTGTGTTTAGAACTGCAAAGATCGAATATGTTTATTTATATAGTTATGTGCCTCCAAGTTATTATGTATGATGTTTCTAGCATGGAGTTTTCTTGGCAGGGTTCAGAGGAAGTTTGCCAAAGCCTGAGCGAATGTGACTTTCCCATGGTCATCTATTGCATTTCAGTATTGACGCAACCCCTGGTCTCCACAGTTCTAGTTCAACACTCAAACTACTACATTACTCAGATTACTTTTATTGGGACAAGTTACTATCAAACTGTAGGTTTTGTTCTGACTTACAGACTAAACATAACAACTCTATTTGATTCCCAGGCAGCTGCTTGTCTTTAATTTTAAATTCCATATCCTTCTTGGTCGAGATATTTCAATAGATACTGCTTCTTATGGTCGGCTTGTTAAACATCATCTTCCTATGGCTGAAATTCACTGCTCCTTTCCATTTGAAAATGTGCAATGCCGATTTCAGTTGATCAGTGCATATTCATTTAGAAGCAAATAATACATTTTTTTCAGGTACATTTCCAGCTTCTTTACAACAGTGACTTCATAGATTCTATTCATAACTTTCTATCCTTGAAGTATATAGTCTATATTCTCTACCCCCAACACATTTTAGAACTAGAATATAGTGTTAAAGATGTTATGTGTATGTAGAAATTGGAATGCAAACTATCCTATGAATAAAAGCAGAGTGTTTCAAGAGAGGCACAAGTCAAGGCAGTTTCATAGCAGCACCTAATTACCTATTGAACAAGTTGAGGACACAGTGGAGGAAGAAGCTTAGCAGGTGTCACCCCCACATAGAAAAACAGACTGAGCATCCCTTATCCAAAATGCTTGGACCTAGAACCGATTTGGATTTTTTTGTTTTGAATACTTGCATATATATATAACAACATATCTTGGATATCCACTGATGTTTCACATACAAATAGCTTGGAAGTAATTTTGCACAATATTTTAAAAAATAATTTTGTGCACGAAACCAAGTTTGCGTACAACACTGACCCAGCAAAGGGGGTTGTACCTCAGATGATTTTTGAGTATATCAGAATTCGAGATAAGGGGTGCTCAAACTATACGATATTTTAAAAAAAGTAATAGATACTACACTTCATTACACAAAAAATAGGCATGATTCTTTCTATAAATTCACAGTAGCTTCTCCTACATGCCACCGACTAACCTATACTTAATTGGAGTCTTTGAAGACGGCAGCTGTATACCTAAATTCATGACTGTCAAAACAGAATATGGTCTCCTCTGTATGAGATGCCTCCATTTCACCCTTATTTCATCCCATCTTTATTAACCAAGAAAATTGGTTAATTTTCTGAAATATATAATAAGCTTGACTTCATTGGACCTGAGATAAGTGCAAAGCCAAATGTTCGGCTTTAAGCTGTCCCTTGTACTCCAGAAGTCTTCTGTTCCAAAGAGTATGAATAAGACGACTTCTACTACAGGTAACTTATAAGTTCAATCTGCAGTGCTGTACTTGATATCTCCCCAAGAACATTCATGATCCAAATTGATTTAAAAATACAAGCCAAGGGTGAACATTATGCATCTCTTGCAGAGTAAAAGTATAACTTTTGCCAAAAACTGTTGTCAAGGGTCAGAACAAAGTTCACCTTTGTATGATTTTCAGTGGACCTTAAGGCATCCACTGAAAACTGGTCAACTGTCTTCTACCTTGCTGTTCAACTATTTAGCACAAGCTGTTCGAAGCTGCCACTCATGGAAACCGAACAGTACTGTTTAATAGCAATGCATTAAAAATCACAATTTTACAGTTGCACACAGTGTTGACAAAAACCTAAGCAGGTAAACTAATTTCTGTCTTTGAGACTTTTATTGTATTGCACTAAGGAACAGCAAAGATATATACCCAACTGTGCTGCAAGTGTGCCTCTCTTTGCAGTTCTACCAGGTTTGATTCAGGTTAAATGGTACTTTGAGACCGGTACACAGTACGCTCTTATAAAATGTATACTTTGCTTCCCCAGCATAGCCACATACCACAGAAAATTGAAACATGGGGTTATCGACTTCATTACTTGCTGTAAACATGGAAAGTTTGAGTCATGCACATTACAGGGACAGAATATCCAAGTAGTAAGAAACAGAGCTACAACTCTTCCTGTGATTGTACTCATGTATTCATCTATAAGACACATAAAGGTTACCTAAGATATAACATACAGAAAAGCGTTCAGTCCTTCAGAAGCACTTGGTACCTACAGCTGACAGCTAGATGGGAGTCCATGGGCCAACTGAGCCACTAAAATGTCCAGTAAAGAAAACAAAACAAAACAAAACAAAACAAATTATACTAAGGACAGTATTTAATACAATTATAACCAAAGGTATAGCTGTTCCTTATGGAGTGCAGGGTCAAAACTGTCCAAAGCCAGTGCCAACTTCTTTACATTAACTTATTACTGTAATACTTGTCACTTTATACGTCCCAGGAATATATATTTTTAAAAAGTCTTTCCATAAGTATTAAAGTTTAGACACATTTTGGGATGGGGAAGAAGAGAGGATGTCATTTCCCCCTACTGAAACCGTGATCACTGGATTCCATAACTTAATCTTGATACCAGATTCTTCGAAAATAATCCTTTGTTTTGTTGTGGCTTTTCTGCATGCACGTTGCTGGAAACAAGTCCATCAGACATCACCATTTAAGAGCTCACCAAAACATAAATCATGCTGTGGAGGAAAGGAGAAGAAGTAAATATTAGTACCTGTTATATTTAAAATTTGTATTACCGAGGCATCCTAGTGACAAACATTCAACCCTAAAATTATGGAAGCAGAAACCAGAGTTTTATCGGTGTGCCCATTAGCTCCCTAACAAGGAAAGCCTCTAAAACACACACAATATCTATCCAATAGTGCGGTAACAACTGCAGCCACCATTCTGAACTTCTGCTAATTGTGGCCTTATCTTCTTCCACCAGAAATGTAACAGATGTCTTGAAGATACGTTTTCATTCCTTGATTCCAGCTCATTTTAGCTCAAGAAGTAGTGGCTGCTGGTTCATAGAGTAGAATAGAATACCACACCATCCTGAACACATGTCTAATTTTGGAAGCTAAACAGGGTCAAGTTGGTTTAATACCTTATTTTGTTGTGTAATAGTCACATTCTTATGTCTTTGTTCAGGCAATGAAAAGAAAAAACTACATACTGCTGGCAGTAAAGGAAGACAGCTTCCCCACTGTAATGAATTCCTGGAAGAAGTGATGGGCTGAATGATGGAAACCAAAGGGCCCTAATCTGGGGTTGGAGGGTGTAGTGAAATTGCTACGCTATGTTAAAGTTTTGGTGTATAGCTCTATGTTTACATATGACAGATAGGGAAGAATAGGCACAGACAGGGTAGCAACAGCAGAGATAGGATTCATTTGCATATGTGAAGCCGATTGGTCATATGCAGATTAGTGTAGGCCCAGGATTTGAAAAGGCTGTTAGGCCAAAATGACAGTTGGGGAGAGCAGAGCTGAACATTCCAAAGGGGCGGAGCCAAGGTTCTGAAAGTGGGAGTTTGAAAATGACAGTTAGGAACCTGTGTGTGAAGAGGAGAGTTGGTTTTTGAGTGCCTGATAGAAATAAGCAGTTATGAAGATGTGTTAAAGACTTCTGATATAGAGAAGCAGTTAGTTAAATAGAGCTCGAGTTTTAAGGAACATAAAGAAGGCTAGTGTTGCCTTAGTTCAAAATATAATTCAGCCAAGACTGTGTAAAGCAAGTAACATGTTTGTGAATGTGAAACATTGAGTTTATTCAGGAAAGTTAACCAAGTAAATGATACTGACTGTAAGCCTCAAGATTGCAACAAAACACAAATGTAACCACAAACGTTGGAGCCAGAAGTTATAAACTGTGTTACTTTGTTATACACAAGAATGTTTCATTGCCAGCGATATGAAGTGCAAAGGTTTAACAGTACACAGAAAGTCCCAACCAATATAAAAGAAGAAACTGAATCAGTATAAGGTAGCAAAGAGGTTTTTAAAGAGGAAATAGTCTCTCTCCCTCGCTACAATCAGTCCCTGAAAGGGCTATAATTCCCCTGAAAGACTGTGTTCATTACTTAGGGGAACTTCTGCATCTCTTTGTTAAAAATGGATGTAAGAGGCATAGACTCTTAGCCTTTTGATTTTAATTTCCAGGAGGCACCAGATCCTGCCTGATCTAAGTAGAGTCAGCCTTGGTTCTTCCAAATAATGCAAGGTGAAATGCATGATGTCACCATACATCAACAGGCAACTTGAAGGGGGACCTATATCCACATTATGAGACCAGCTTTCATAGTTTTTCCACCATCTGGGAAACAATATTCCATCTTGTATAATTAAATATAAATACATATAATTGATCACTTACCCATATAGGTAGTAAAAAAAGGATAGAAGGTAAAATGCTAGTTTGCACCATCCCTCCTTCTGGCAATATGCTAAAATATCTGCATTCATTATGGTTGTTGGGTCATAAAGTCCTGGTCCACTCATCACAGGCCTACTCATATACCTGAAAAAGTGAATTCACATTTTTAAAAACAACAAAAAAAATGGGGAAAGAGGATGTTTCTAGAAAATGTACCTGTGACAAATGTGATCATGCACATTCTATATTACATAATATTATTTTACTGGGTTGTTGTAGGTTTTTCCGGGCTGTATGGCCATGGTCTAGAGGCACTCTCTCCTGACGTTTCGCCTGCATCTATGGCAAGCATCCTCAGAGGTAGTGAGACCTCACTACCTCTGAGGATGCTTGCCATAGATGCAGGCAAAACGTCAGGAGAGAATGCCTCTAGACCATGGCCATACAGCCCGAAAAAACCTATAACAACCCAGTGATTCCAGCCATGAAAACCTTCAACAATATATTATTTTACTATTTATTTATACTCTGTTTTTCTCTCAGGAATGGGCCCCAAAATGGCTCATTCTATCAGAAACATGATTTTCTCTCATATATATTGTTAATATATAAGCATTTCTTATTCGACAATGAGAAAAAAATATATCCGTATTCACAAAATTGGGGATTTTACCCCTGCCACCTTACAAGGTTTTCAACTTATGAATGCATGAACTGAACAGAGCTTCAGCCAATAGTAAATGCACAAATTTAGTGAAGCACAGGCCTAATTGGCAAACCTACTAAATAATCCATTGTGCGAGACCCATCATAACAAAGATAATGCATTCATCCCTTATAAACAAAAGCCATGTATTTGGGAGTTGGCAACCAGATAAAGACATAAAGTTCTCCCTTACAATTAGTTCTCCCCCCTTACTTCACCCGGAGTTTTAAAATCATTTTATTTACATGCGGCCCACTCTTTGTCATTATGTTTGGTTCCTAATTTTTGTGTATATTGTTTTACAGGTTTTGATGTTTTACATTTTAATGTTATGTTGTTTATTTTACTGCAATTTGTATTGTTATATTGTAGTTTGTTGTTCGGGCTTGGCCCCATGTAAGCCGCTCCGAGTCCCCGTTGGGGAGATGGTAGCGGGATATAAATAAAGAATTATTATTATTATTATTATTATTATTATTATTGCTTCTGAATAATAATAATAATAATAATAATAATAATAATAATAATAATAATAATCTTTATTTATACCCCACCACCACCTCCCCAACAGGGACTCGGAGCGGCTTACATGACCTCTGACCACCTGCTGCAATGCACCCTGAGCCCTGCCACATGCACAATGGAGGACCCTTGCGGCAACACCAGAGGCACTCCAAGTGGCCAGATACTGGTCAAAGGACATTTAATCAGCTACCAAGTTTGCAAAATTTGTGGGGTTTTTTTTAATCTGTTTGTTTTGTTCTGTTAGAAATGTAATACAATGTTCTGGTTGCGATGACACGATAAATAAATAAAATTATTATTATTATTATTATTTGATGGCATGTCCCTCTAATTTCATTATTGGTAGCCATTTCTGAACATAAACATATTATTTATGATAATGCTTTATGATGTTAAAAGCATTGGGGCAAAGAAATCAGAATTTTATCACCTTTGCCACCTTCCTCTGGATCTGTTCTATGAGGAATAATTGAAAAAGCTGGGTATGTTTAGCCTGCAGACAACTGAGAGGTAATACGATAAGAAAATTAGCCAAATTATATGGAAGATGAATAAAGTTTGATTTCTGATGCTCCAGAATATTGGATCCAAGCCTTTGGATTCCAATTATTAAAAAGAGAGATATTTCAGGGGTGGTACAAGCAGCCTTGAATGCATGGCTTGCCTTTTTTGTATTTGTTTTTTAAAAGATGTTGGATGGCCATCCATTAATGATGCTTTACATCAGGGGTCCTCAAACTTTTTAAACAGAGGGCCAAGTCACAGTCCCTCAAGCTTTTGGAGGGCCGAATTATAATTTGAAAAAAACATGAATGAATTCCTATGCACAGTGCACATATCTTATTTGTAGTGCAAAAAAACACTTAAAAAGAATACAATAATTAAAATGAAGAACAATTTTAATAAACATAAACTTATTAGTATTTCAATAGGAAGTGTGGACCTGCTTTTGGCTGATGAGATAGGGTTGTTTTTGTTGTTATGTGCTTTCAAGTTGTTTCAGACTTAGGTTGACCTTGAGCAAGGGCCTGAGCAAGGGACAGGTAAATGACCTTGGGGGGCCGTATCCGGCCCCCGGGCCATAGTTTGAGGACCCCTGCTTTACATCCTGATGTCCTGGAGAAGCAGGAGATTAGACCCTAAAAGTACCTTCCAAGTCTATTATTTTATGATCCCATAATAAAAGGCAGGAACACCTATGAGTGAAATGTAATATGCTTCTTATGTAACTGTTCTTGCATGAGGACAGATAATAGGCAGTCATTTTCATCTTGCTTTGCTCCCTAAAGGTATCCTGAACATAGACAGCAATTGATTAGATTTTAGTTTGAGGCTTCTATCTCCATATATATTTCTAAAAGGGAACACAGCCTCAATAGAAGACATGAAGAAAGAGCTTTGGGTTTTAATTAGGCCTCAATCATGAGCAATGAAAACCAAAGAGAGACAATTTATTGTCGAAAGCTTTCATGGCCAGAATCACTAGGTTGTTGTAGGTTTTTTCGGGCTATACGGCCATGTTCTAGAGGCATTTTCTCCTGACGTTTCGCCTGCATCTATGGCAAGCATCCTCAGAGGTGGTGAGGTCTACTGGAACTAGGAAAATGGGTTTATATATCTGTGGAATATATATCTGTGGAATGCCCCACCCTGGTCATTCCACAGATATATAAACCCTTTTTCCTAGTTCCAACAGACCTCACTACCTCTGAGGATGCTTGCCATAGATGCAGGCAAAACGTCAGGAGAAAATGCCTCTAGAACATGGCCCTATAGCCCGAAAAACCTAAAACAACCTACCAAAAAGAGACGTTCTCTCTACTGATTTTGGAAGGGAAAAAGGTATACAGAGAAGTGTACAGAATACCTTTGAACAGAGAAGTGTCCTAATGTAAGTTACAGACTGGGTCATTTTTTGACTTCCTAACAATAAGAGGTGGAGACACATTTTCCTTTAAGTGGAACACAAAGACACAAATTGCTGGGTAACATGCAAATGCATACATTGAATAACCATGACCACATTACTCTTCATAAACCATTCCCAGTAATACCTCCAAATGTGGTAAGCCAATAACGGCATATTGAGTCCCAGCGTGAGCCACTCTGTTGCACACAGAAACATAACACAGAAGAACGCATGGATAAGGTACTCCGGAAGTACAAGCTGCAAAGAAGACACATAGGTCAGACCATTCGGTTTCAACACTTAGGCCATCAGGGTGACACTACATTTCAGTAACTGAACTCATTGTTTAGAGGGGGAAAGAAGAAGAAAGGTAGAACAAGCAAAGCTGTCAGTAGACATAAGAAGCCAGTGAATCCCAAAACACAGTAAGACTCCTGTATCTGTGGCGAATACAGTCCAGGCGAGGCCATCATTACATGAAACCACAGGTATGACCAGACACCATTACATTAGCTCACTTCCAATCCCAGCATACCATACAGTTACACTGGAAGACCTAGAACAGTGGTTCTCAACCTGTGGATCCCCAGGTGTTTTGGCCTACAACTTCCAGAAATCCCAGCCAGTTTTCCAGCTGTTAGGATTTCTGGGAATTGTAGGCCAAAACATATGGAGACCCGCAGGTTGAGAACCACTGACCTGGAAATTCCTAGAGGTAAGCTCTGTAGGAATTATCTAGATTATCTAATACAACTCTATGCTTACTGAATGTTATTGTTCTGTGCTGTAATGACAGGTTGCAAATTGAATACACATTTGATCACCATTTATACAATTTACACCATGGAAGGCAAATTATATAAGATACTATTAAATTAACTGAGCACTTGTAAACATCTTAATTTATTTGAACTTTCATCCTAGGAAAAATCAGGTTTACTCAACCTGTGGTGTCTTGGCCTACAACTCCCAGAAATCTGTTAGTTTACCAGCTGTTATGATTTCTGAGAGTTGAAGGCCAAAACATGTGAGGACCCATAGGTTGAGAACTGTCAGAAATATTAAAAAATTAACTAGATATTTTTAGTTACCAAAGTGTGATTCAAACACTGAAAGGGTTAAACCAGGGGTAGGGAACCTTTGGCCCTCCAGCTGTGGTGGACTTCAACTCCCCCAATTCCTTGAGGCTCGGCATTGGGCCAAGGTAAGCCTTTGGGGCGAATGCCAAGCCTCAAGGAATTGTGGGAGTTGAAGTCCACCACAGCTGGAGGGCCAAAGGTTCCCTACCCCTGGGTTAAACAAATGCAAGGGCTCAGAAAAAGCATTGCATGTATGCAGGTGTACCTGTAGCTCAGTAGCCGTCAGTCTGAGGTAAACCTCAGTGGGAAAAAGATCTCAAAAGGCCTCACAGTGAGAGGTGGGTCTTAGTCTGTGAGAGAAGCCTTTGTGTGAGGTAGGCCTTAGTCCAGTGGTTCTCAACCTGTGGGTCTCCAGGTGTTTTGGCCTAAAACTCCCAGAAATCCCAACCAGTTTAACAGCTGTTAGGATTTCTGCGAGTTGAAGGCCAAAACATCTGGGGACCCACAGGCTGACAACCACTGCCTTAGTCTGTGATGTTACAGTAAGTTGTAGCAGGACCAACTGTGTATGTTGAAGAAAAAACCTTATGATTGTAATTATTATTTGCAGCTGGTAATGTAGGTCAACCAGCAATCTTGGACCACACTCGATAGGGTATAACTGTATGAGTTTTTAGAATACAGTTCTGGAGAGCGTTTTCTCTGAGGAGATCTCTGCTCTGAGGAGCAGGTTGGAGAGAAGCCGTTATGCTGCTCTAAAAGAGGCTATGGTGGAATAGCTGTTTGCTCAAGGTTTATGTTTTGCTTTCTCATTGAACTTAAGATGAAGATGCCATATTTTGTGTTACTTACAAAGACTAAGTTTGTTTTTTGTATGCAACATTGCAAGTTTATATTTTATCTCTGCTATTAAGAGTAATAGTACTTTGGCCACATCATGAGGAGACAGCAAAGCCTAGAGAAGACAATGATGCTGGGGAAAGTGGAAGGAAAAAGGAAGAGGGGTCGACCAAGGGCAAGATGGATGGATGGCATCCTTGAAGTGACTGGACTGACCTTGAAGGAGCTGGGGGTGGTGACGGCCAACAGGGAGCTCTGGCGTGGGCTGGTCCATGAGGTCACGAAGAGTCGGATACGACTGAACGAACGAACAAATTAAGAGTAAATATTTTTCTGTTCATTTCTACTCTTGTCTGTGTGTCTTATGCATGGGACATGGCTAAGATCCGCTTGCTGTGCAATGTATGAGAAGCTAAGTATGAGAAGGCCTGTTGTCAGTAGCTTTGGTGAAAGCAGCCCAGGTTAAGGCCTCATGTGTAAAGCTACTATGTGATGCCCCTGTGTAATTTTGGTGTAAGAGGAGAGTCTGTGAGAGTGAAGCTGTTTATCTGCATAAGAAAGCAGCCACCAGCCAAAAAAAGAAAAAACCAACACAAATTTTGAAGCGCAGAAGAGATCAAACAGCTGGAAAAGTACATCAAACTCATTATCTTGAATCAAGGATGGATGTTTCATCATACTTTCAAGTGAAATGTGTATCTAAAGTGTATGCTCTGTTTGCACAGGAGCCTATGAAAAGCCTCACTCAAGAATTGGCAGCCATCAGCCATATAGGATAACAGATCTGAGGAGCCTGGGTGTATCAAAGACTACAGATACTGATATGCTCAGTATGAAAGGTGCAAGCCTTGCAATTTGCACAGAAAAGTCCCTCAACGTGACAGCTGCTGCTAGAAAGTCATTATACATGTGAATTATTTCTCATTAAACGTTCTGCATATCCTTCTGAGACATTGGTTTCGCCCATATCGAGAATGTATTTACAGCAACAATATGCAATCACATGAAAGTCCAATGACTCTCACCTACATATTTTAATCACAGTTTAACAAATGTATAGCTCAGAGAAGCACATGTTCAACATGCATATGGTAATAATATCTTGTTGGTTAAACGTCTGTGATAAGGGAATGCATAAATGTAGTGAACATTTTTCTCACCCTCCCACATCAAATGAGAAATGGCTGAGTAGGGTAAACTGTTCCATGCACAGTTATTGCACGCACTCCTTTCCGCACGCCCACTTTGAGAAAGTAACTCTCTATTGTCGAAGGCTTTCATGGATGGAATTACTGGGTTGCTATGAATTTTTGGGCTGTATGGCTATGTTCCAGAAGCATTCTCTCCTGATGTTTCGCCCACATCTATGGCAGGCATCCTCAAAAGTTGTGAAGACTTAGGGTTAGTTGTGAAGACTTAGGGTTAACCCAATACGGCTCCGGTCCAGCGTCCCTGTCCGAACGTATCTCCTTCTACGTCCCACCTCAGAGCTTAAGATCGTCTGGGGAGGCCCTGCTCTCGGCCCCGCCTTTGTCTCAAACATGCTTGGTGAGAATGAGGGACAGGGCCTTCTCGGTGGTGGCCCCCCGCCTGTGGAATTTGCTCCCCGGGAAAATTAGTTCAACGTCATCCCTCCTCACCTTTAGAAAAAAAGGTTAAAACGTGGCTGAGGGACCAGGCCTTCGGGCAATCAGATTAAAGGACAATTGATAATGTTTGACTATGGCATGGAAGAGGATTTGGATAAGTTATCCGGACTAGTCATTAGTAGACTAGGCTAAACTGCCACCAGACGGGCAATAGCTAATCAGAGTGTAAGTATACTGTTTTAATCTTTATTTATTAATGTTCATGTTAATTGTTATGTTTGTTATTCTGTATTCTGTATTTTATGATGCGGCATTGAATTATTGAATTATTATTAACCTTTAAAGCCCTAAACGACTCCAGCCCTGTTTATCTCTCCGAACGTATTCTCCCCTATGAACCATCAAGATTATTAAGATCGTCTGGAGAGGCCCTGCTCTCGGTCCCACCGGCCTCGCAAGCGCGTCTGGTGGGGACGAGGGACAGGGCCTTCTCGGTGGTGGCCCCTCGACTCTGGAACTCTCTCCCACTGGAGATCAGAACCGCCCCTTCTATCCTGACATTTAGGAAACAGGTGAAGACTTGGCTATGGAGACAGGCATTCGATGAGTGAGTCAACACCCTGAGATATGGATGGAGGATGATGAGTAATGTTTTTAGTCGGACGACTGACCATTGTAGTTATTGATTGTAATTGCTGTTTTAATGTTTTACTGTAATATGAATTATGATGTTTTATTGATTGTATGTGATATTATGGTTGGAAACCGGTCTGAGTCCCTCAAGAGAGGTGAGAAGGCCGGTATACAAAACTTTTAAATAAATAAATAAATATTGCCAATTGTAAGCCGCCCTGAGTCCCCCTAGGGGTTGAGAAGGGCGGGGTAGAAATGCTCGAAATGAATAAATTAGGGTTAGGGCTGTGAAGACTTCACAACTTCTGAGGATGCCTGCCATAAATGTGGGCAAAATGTCAGGAGAGAGTGCTTCTGGCACATAGCCATACAGCCCGAAAAAAACTCACAGCAACCCAGTAACTCTCCACCGGTCACACTGACACAATCGTCATTTTAAGAAAATACATTTGATTTCAGGATGGAGAACATTTCCTACTGCTGCCATTTGGATCAATACTGGGAGGATAATTTGGCTACTCTGTAAAATCCTTTAGTTCAATACTTGTCAAAGGGGGGGGGGGGGGTATTTTCTCTCTCTCTAATATATAAGGGAAGTGCCATATTTGCTCATTGGCCTTCGGGCTGAGAACAGCGGTATATAAGTAAAGTAAATAAATAATAGTTTCACTATTTCCTAGAAACTCTCCATGGAGTGGCACCGGGCCATTACTCTGGAGTGCTTCTGTTGTAGTAGCTGAATTTAGTCATAGTAAGTCTATGCCAAAAGAAGAGTGGAAAGAAGAAGCAACCTTTTCTCTACTTTCTCAATCAAATCTCAAGATCTGGCCAAAGGCTAAAGGCAAAGGTAACATGTGAAAAATCAAAACACGTTATTTGAGGTTACCATTCTCCTAAGTAGATAGGGGTATCTTGCTGGTATCTATAAAATGAGGATTTTCTTGGGTTGTTATAGGTTTTTTCGGGCTATATGGCCATGGTCTAGAGGCATTCTCTCCTGACATTTCGCCTGCATCTATGGTAAGCATCCTCAGAGGTAGTGAGGTCTGTTGGAACTAGGAAAAAGGGTTTATATATCTGTGGAATGACCAGGGTGAGACAAAGGACTCTTCTCTGCTGGAGCTAGGTGTGAATGTTTCAACTGACCACCTTGATTAGCATACAATGGCCTGACTGTGCCTGGGGCAAACTTTTGTTGAGAGGTAATTAGATGTCCCTGCCTGCTTCCTCTCTGTTGTTGTGCTGTTGCAATTTTAGAGTTTTTTTAATACTGGTAGCCAGATTTTGTTCATTTTCATGGTTTCCTCCTTTCTGTTGAAATTGTCCACATGCTTCTTGTGGATTTCAATGGCTTCTCTGTGTAGCCTGACATGGTGGTTGTGAGAGTGGTCCAGCACTTCTGTGTTCTCAAATAAAACGCTGTCTCCAGGTTGGTTCATCAGGTGCTCTGAAGATTTCCCTTCTTTTGTTATCTGAACAGTTCCATCTGTTTAAACAACTAAGAGAGCAAATATGCCCATAGCACACCATTTCCAGCAGCAGGATTTGAATCCCACCAGGAAGGACTAACTCAAAAGAGGCGTTTATGGGTTGTAAGGAACCCCACCTCTACTTGAAACTGGATGGTTTTAAGGAATGTAGATGGTGGATCTCACAAAGCCTGGTGTAATCCAAATCGTATATTGCAAATGCAATATTTATTTTATTTTATTTGACATATTTATATTCCGCCCTTCTCACCCCGACTCAGGGCGGAGCACAGCATATATACGGCAAACGTTCAATGCCGGGACATGAAATCAAAACATTTGTCTCAATATTAAAATACACTGTGTAAAACTGTCTCGGTCAATTATTACTATTTATTCAATTATTATTTTGATCACGAGTTATTTATTAAATATAATTTATTGTATTTATTATTACTGTTTATTAGGTTATTATTTTCATTATAAATTATTTATATTTGGGTTGTTGTAGGTTTTTTCGGGCTATATGGCCATGTTCTAGAGGCATTTTCTCCTGACGTTTCGCCTGCATCTATGGCAAGCATCCTCAGAAGTAGTGAGGTCTGTTGGAATTAGGAAAATGGGTTTATCCTCAGAGGTAGTGAGGTATTTATATTTATTAGGTTATTATCTATCACATTATAAATTATTAGCAGTTTTATAATTATTGGGTTGCTTTGAGATCTCTGGGCTGCCTGGCCATATTCCAGCAGCACTCTCTCCTGACGTTTCACCCACATCAACGGCAGGCATCCTCAGAGGTTGGGAGGTCTTTGGAAACTGCCTTGCCCTCTGTTGCTTTCTCAGCTTTGGAATTATTACTATTATTACTATATTTACAATTATTAAATTATACAAACCATATACTGTACATACTCGAGTATAAGCCTAGTTTTTCAGTTCTTTTTTTAGGCTGAAAAAGTCTTCCCCGGCTTATACTCGAGTCAATATTATTTATTATTTTACTTTGTTGTTGTTATTATTATTACATTTATTATTTTATTATTATTATTGTTATTATTATTACATTCATTATTTTACTCTATTTATTATTGTTATTATTACATTTATTATTTTACTCTATTATTATTATTTTACTCTATTTATTATTATTGGAGTACATGTAAGCACACTGGAGGGAAAGATACTAGAGACAAAGTTGAAGTACTTTGGCCACATCATGAGGAGACAGGAAAGCCTAGAGAAGACAATTATGCTGGGGAAAGTGGAAGGCAAAAGGAAGAGGGGCCGACCAAGGGCAAGATGGATGGATGGCATCCTTGAAGTGACTGGACTGACCTTGAGGGAGCTGGGGGTGGTAACGGCCGACAGGGAGCTCTGGCGTGAGCTGGTCCATGAGGTCACGAAGAGTCGGAGACGACTGAACGAATGAACAACAACAAGCACATTTACATTGAAGGAGGTTCGAATAATGGTTTAATCAGAGTTGGAGAGTCTTATCTTGAATTACAGTTTTATGTAAATATTCAAAAACATTTAACCTACTGATGCCTAAATTAATATAATTTTATTATTTTGAAATTTACCAGTAGCTGCTGCTTTTCTCACCCTCGGCTTATACTCGAGTCAATACATTTTCCCAGTTTTTGGTGGTAAAATTAGGTGCCTCGGCTTATATTCGCGTCGGCTTATACTCGAGTATATACAGTACCTACAAATTAAGGAACCAGCCTTAGGACAGAGTATCTGACACACCCCACCATAAATTCCGTGGAACATGATTCAGATCTACACCACTACCACACAGAGTTCTCATCTGAAACAAGAATGTTTTAAGCAGAGGCTGGATGGAATGGCCATCTGCAAGGAGTGCTCTGATTCTGTGCTTTTGCATGGCACAAAGTTGGACTGAGTGGCACTTGTGCTTTCTTCCAACTCTGTGATTCCATGATTCTATTTGATTCTTGGCACCAAGGCCTAATGGCAAGCGTGGGTTAATTATATAAGAATGTAAACATGCAACAGTTTTCCCCATCTCCTTTTAAGCAACTGAACTTACGATGCACAAAGTCCATGAGGTTAATAACACCACCCCTGAATTGACAAAAAAGACAAGCAGATGAACAAGCACACGGATCAAAATAATCATACAGATGTCCCCAACAAATGCAAAACAAATCAGAGAGTGGCATTAAGACATTAAACTAAGAAGCAGTACACACCTTTAATGCAATTTTGACTCTTTTAATCTTTTTAACCTTTTCAACTGTCTTTGTGCCGAAAATGTAAAAAGCAGATTGAAAGAATGTTAGTATGACCACTTGCAAGATCACTAGCAGAAAAGCAAGTCAGAATTTCAAGGTACAGGAAATAAAGGAGAGCAGAGGCAGGATCCTGCCAAGAAAATCTTAAATCTATTAGATAGAATAATGAAACAACATTTTACTAGGGTATGTTAAATGAGTATTAAGTACAAATATATAATCAAACTGGGAATTAAGGCAAACAGTTCTCTCGCGTGGAAAACTTACAGGGTTAAGTGTATTACACTGGTCTATCGGGTTCTTGTAGTCGGTCTTCAGCTCATCAAAAGCTATAATCTAGAATAAAATCACAGTTGTTAGGCAACAAATCAAGAACAGGTCAGCTGTAGTGGGTAAAAACTTCCAAAGCCATTACAACATACAAAGATTAGGTCCTAGAGGCAAATTCAGACACTCAGACCCAATATACAATCAACCTTCCATATATGTGGGTCACTGCAACACTGATTAGGATTAATTAATATATGGCCTCACTAATAATCTCCAATCCCCAGTGGCACAACGGGTTAAATCATTGAGCTGCTGAATTTGGCTGACCGAACGGTCGGTGGTTTGAATCCTGGGAGCGGGATGAGCTCCCACTGTTAGCCTCAGCTTCTGCCAACCTAGCAGTTCGAAACATGCTCTGTGCAGTCATGCCGGCCACATGACCTTGGAGGTATCTATGGACAACGCGACTCTTTGGCTTAGAAATGGAGATGAGCACTACCCCCAGAATCAGACATGACTAGACTTAATGTCAAGGAAAAACGTTTACCTATATATATATATGTATGTATGTATATGTATGTATGTATGTAAAATACGAATGCAAATCAAAACTTTACTGAAAACGTTATCAGAATTTGCAAGGCTTGCTGAATAGGCTGGTTTTCCTTTTTATGAAGGACAGGCCATCCCCAAGTTACAAATATCAAACTTACAAACGACTCATAGTTAAGGTCAGACAACAAGAAGTGAGAGAAATCTACCCTCGGAAGGGAAATCCACTCCTGGAAGAGTTACTTAGGTGATCCCTTGTAGCTTAAGGATGATGGTTTTAAGTCTGAAATTACTTAAAAGCACACACAACAACAACAACAACAACAACCTAAATCCTATCTCATCAGCCAAAAGCAGGCCCATACTTCCCATTGAAATACTAATAAGTTTATTTTTGTTAAAATTGTTCTTCATTATAATTATTGTATTGTTTTTAAGTGTTTTGCGCTACAAATAAAATATGTGCAGTGTGCACAGGAATTCAATCATGCTTTTTTCAAATTATAATCTGGCCCTCCAACTGTTTGAGGGACTGTGACCTGGCCCTCTGTTTAAAAAGTTTGAGGACCGCTGACCTAGAGGGTCCTAGAATGAACATCTAGGAATCTCTTAAGTTGTCAAGGGCTTTCCCAGCCAGAATCACTGGGTTGCTGTAAGTTTTTTGGGCTCTATGGCCATGTTCCAGAAGCATTCTCTCCTGACATTTCTCCCACATCCATGGCAGGCATTCTCAGAGGTTGTGAGGACCTCACAACCTCTGAGGATGCCTACCATAGATGGAAGGCAAAATATCAGGAGATAATGCTTCTGAAACATGACCATGCAGCCCGAAAAACTTACAGCAGTCCAATCTTAAGTCTTCCAACACAACTCTTATGGTTAAACATTAGATGGAAAATGACCACGGAGTTGAACTGGAAGAATTAGAACTTCCTACAGAGATGCTGTCTCTAGTTTAAAAACCTTTCAAAAATAATGTTTTCCACTTTTTGTGGGGGTCCTGTGCTCATAACCCCAGCAAATGTAGAGGGCCAACTGTACTGTACAATGTTGAGTCCCTGTATCTGCACAAAAGTGAGATAAAAATAAAGTAAATAAATAAAATACTGTATGACCTTTTCAAATAATACTGAGCAGTTAGGTTCCTTAAAAAACAGATTTCGTCCCCCTAATCCCCCTTCCAAAATTGTAGTGTTCCTGGCTCTCTTCTCATTCATGAGAAAGACAGTTTAGTTCGCAGTTTTGTTTTCAATGATCTTGAAAATGTGGTTGTTCCAGTGTGCCTTCCCAGAATAAGGAAACTCCAAGCATTATGTCCCCAACGCACTTTATCAGAGATCCAGGATATCTGCATACCCATTCCCCTCCAAACACCTCACCTGGTCATGCCCAGCACTTCTTAATTTTAATTATTACATTTGGCCCTGCCGTATTTTAATTGCGTCATTGTGTGTTGTTAATGTTATTGCCTTGGTTTTTTTTTAGTTATTTTGCTGTATTGTTATTGTTTTTACTGTTGTATTTGGGCTCGGCCTCTTGTAAGCCGCACCAAGTCCTTCAGGAGATGGTAGCGGGGTACAAATAAAGGATTATTATTATTATTATTATTATTATTATTGGAGCCCCCGGTGGCGCAGTGGGTTAAACCCCTGTACCGGCAGTACTGAAGACCGACAGGTCGCAGGTTTGAATCCGGGGAGAGGCGGATGAGCTCCCTCTATCAGCTCCAGCTCCTCATGCAGGGACATCAGAGAAGCCTCCCACAAGGATGATAAAAAAAAATCAAATCATCCAGGCATCCTCTGGGCAATGTCCTTGCAGACGGCCAATTCTCTCACACCAGGAGTCACTCCTGACATGAAAAAATTATTATTATTATTATTATTATTATTATTATTATCTGAAGGAACAGAATGGAGGCAAAGCATGATCACTCTTTCAGGTTCAAAGAGGAAACTCAAGTTTGATGGTCCACTGACAGATAACCATAGCATCTTCTCTGTGGCCACAAGATAGCCAAGAACAGTGTGCTACTTCATGAAATAATAATCATTTTTAACACATTTTATCCTAATGCTACTTAGGAAAGACTTTCCAGTTCTGGATGGTGTAATCCCAGCCCAAATTATGCTCCTGTGTGTATTTAGAAGATGGTGGCAATTGAAAAAGAAGACTGAAAGGAAACTCTCTGATAGTGTCATAAGCAATGCTTAATGCCTTATTCTCATCCAGGGTGCATGCATGAGAGAAAACATCCCCAGTGTGAAGAGCAAACTGCTACTGAATCCAGAATAGTATGAGATAAAGAATAACACTCATTGGCTATCAGATTCCAAACACAGAAGTCACTGACACATTCTTGGCCAAAGTTGTATTTACCCACACCAGGAATGACAAATGGGAAAGAGCAAAGTTGGCAACTTGTCACTCCACTAGAGATGGGAAGCAGGTGAAGCATGAAGACAGAAGCTTTTGAGGCCTAAGTGATCCGTGAACAATACCTTCTGCAAACTGTGACCTAAATCCAGTTATTCGTCTCAGAGTTGCACCAACTAGAGATGGCACACTGGCAGACTGTATCTTCCCATATGGGCCTGCCTTGAGTATTAAGATCTTTCAACAGGGAGATTTATACTGTCTATACTGACCACTTAAAATCAGTTTCAAACTGCTACTGAAGAAATACCACACACACTGGTAGTGCACTTAGCTCACAAAAAAGGTACCTTTCTGCTTCACCATCACCACAATTTGTCCCCTTGTTCTCTTCCTGCAACCACTGAGTATTTTTAATAACTATTCCAGAAACTATATTACAGGCATGGGCAAACTTCAACCCTCCAGGTGTTTTAGATTTCAACTCCCATAATTGCCAACAGTCGGTAGGCTGTTAGGAATTGTGGGACGTGAAGTTCAAAACATCTGAAGGGTCAAAGTTTGCCCATACCTGCCATATCACCTTCCTTCCCAATCTTTCCTCAGTCTTCCCAATTTTGCAACCCAGCACTTCCATCAGTCTCTTGAAATATGCCTTACTTATAGTCCCATATCTGCCCCTCTCATAATTTCTCCCATGGTCATATCAGGCCATCCTGCAGGTCAACTGATCTCTGTAGTCTGTGGATGGACTTTGGAATGTCTGTGAAGGGTGTGAAAACATTTATTTCTCCAATATCTGCATCACAGTGAATTGTAAGGCTTAAAAACACATTATATGTTGTTCATTATTCTGTGGAGAAAATCCATTTTCAATGTTATCAAATGCGCCATTTGAAAAATGATTGTCTGCTTTTGTACATTTCTCTGGAGTAGCATTGTTTTATACTTGTAATATAAGTTGATCTCATGTGTCTAGGGCAGAATCATAGAATAATAGAGTTGGAAGAGACCACATGGGCCATCTAGTCCAATCCCCTTCTGCCATGCAGGAAAGGCATAATCAAACCACCCCCAGCAGATGGCCATCTAGCCTCTGTTTCAAAGCCTCCATGGGAGAAAACAAGCTTGCCCCCTCCACAATTTAAACAAGGCTACCCTCAAAACATTCAACTCTGGCTGGATCTACGCTATTATATTGCAATTGCAATATATGGTCAGTGTAGTAGACCCATATAATGCAAATTGTATTCTAACGACACTGAATTGCATTATATGGCAGTGTGGATCCAGCCTCTGTGTCAAGCATGGGAGGAACAAATAATCTCTTCTTTGGATTACAAATCCCAAAATCCCTGTATAAATTGAGGGTAGGTTTTGGGCTCAAAATAATGGATTTGAGTATGACCCATGTATCATTCTGTGGAAAGCACCAGGGAAGCCTCAAAAAGCCAGAAGTCCTTTGGTTGCTGTTGCCATTTTCACATTTAGGCATTCAAAAAGGCCAGAAGCACTGCAGTGGCAGAGAGTTATGCTTTTAGGCTCTCCCAGGATGGACTTTGCTCTCTTTTACCACTCTTCTCAGAGAAGGTGGGTACCTAATTTGCTAAGTGTTAAGATGCAGTACTTACACACTGGCACATATTTAAATCTAGTAAGCAAACTAAGACCCATACATGGAATTTAGAGGCAGTCCCAAAGTTACAAACATCCAACTTACAAACAATTCATAGTTAAGAACAGGGGTGAGACAACAGGAGGTGAGAGAAATCAACCCCTCAAAAGATAACTCCTGGAAGAGTTATTATCATGGAGAAAAGGTATCTCCACTGAAGCTTTATTTATAATCCTTGTTTCCACAACAAGCCAAATTTTTCAAAATCCAATTATCTCAGGGGCAGAAAGTATGGTGAAATCTTCTGAACAGGAGCCACAGATAGCCAAATGAACACCACAGGAGTGTTCACCCTTCCTTATGTTATTGAAAGATTTGAAATGTGTGTGTGTGTGTGTGTGGCTTAAAATGTACTTGTTCCAACTTACAGACAGATTCAACTTAAGAACAAATCTACAGAACCTCTCTTGTTACTTGGGGACTGCCTGTACTGTAAATCCAACAACTCTCTTAACTGAAGCTTTAACAGCACAATAAAAGTAATCCTCTCATTCTTCACCATATCTCCCCCACCTATTGAAAAGTTCCACTTCATTCCTTATACAGCAGTCTTTCCATTTTCAAAGGAGTTAGGGATGTAAAATCCCTGCAAATGTTGAAAAACCATGAATTAAACAAAACTTTTTAAAAAATCCTAAGAGAACACCTCTTTAGGAATCTCTAGCACAATTTATGGTCAGCCTCCAGCAGAGTCCCACAGGAGAACCTAGAGATTTCTGCAGGGAGCATATTAATTGAATCCGTAAAAATTAACCCAGCATATGTGAGTTGTAATTCCCCTGCCTATTATCCCTCCTTTCACATTATCTTTACCCTTTCTTTGTCCTCTCTTTCCGTTCCTTAAGCAACAACTCTTCCCAAATGCTCTTGGAAAGGATATTATATTGAAGATGGGACAAGCTTATTATAGAAGGTTTGTAAACAAAGGCTGATCAACCCTTTGTTGGGAGGACTTTGATTATGTATTCCTACATGGCAGAAAGGGATGGGACTACACCAGGTGTGGGCAAGCTTTGGTCTTCCAGGTATTTTGGGCTTCGACTCCCAAAATTTCTACCAGCTGTTAGGAATTATGGGAGTTGAAGTCCAAAACACCTGGAGGACCAAAGTTTGCCCATGCCTGGACTAGGTGATCCTTATGATTTCTTCCAACTCTATGATTTCATGATTCAAATGGCAGGAAAGGAGATTCCACCTGAGCATGAGGAAGAACTTCCTGACTACAAGAAGAGCTGTTCAACAGTGGAACTCCCTGCTCGGAGTTTGATGGAAGCTCCTTTTTTAATGGCTCAAACAAAGGCTGGGTAGCCATCTGTCGGGGGTGCTTTGGTTGTGCTTTTTCTGCCTGACAGAATGGGTGGCTCTTGTCCAAGTCTACGTTTCCTACATCTCTTCTCCCCTTTGAGACCTTTGCTTCCACCTCACGGTCTGCTTTCAGAACTTCCAATACAATTCCACCAAAAAAAAAGCACTTGGACAATTTCAACAGACAGGAGGAAACCATGAAAATGAACAAAATCTAGCTACCAGTATTTAAAAACACCAGAATCAAGGCAGTCAATAAAGAACACCACTCAGAAACAGGGGAACTCCTGACAGCAAGCAACCAAGTGCCAGTGAACACCTCTCCCAGCGGTTGCATCCAGGCAACAACAGCTAGGCCACCTCTATGCAGGCACTCTCACTGATAGACTTTGTAGCTTCACAACTACCCAATGCCCTACAAGTTTTCTAATTGGAACACTCACACCTGCCTTAAACAGACAGGAGTTCTTTCTCCCACCCTGGAGGGTGCCTCCAGGCAACAACAACCAGGCCACCTCTATGCAGCCACCCTCACTGATAGACTTTGCAGCGTTGTGACTACTCAATGCCCTACAAGTTTCCCAAATGCAACACTCACACATGCCTTAAACAGACTGGGTTCTTTCTCCCAACCAACACATCATTACACGGAGGGTACCTCCATGCAACAACAGCCGGGCCACCTCTATATAGGCACATTCACTGATAGACTTTGCAGCATCATAACTACTCAATGCTTTACAAGCTTCCTAATTGCAACAGTGACACATGCCTTAAACAGGCAGGGGTTCTTTCTCCCACCCTGGAGGGTGCCTCCAGGCAACAACAGCCAGGCCACCTCTATGCAGGCACCCTCACTGATAGACTTTGTAACTTCACAACTACTCAATGCCCTACAAGTTTCCTAACTGCAACAGTAACACATTCCTTAAACAGACAGGGGTTCTTTCTCCCACCCTGCACATCATTTCACGGAGGGTGCCTCCACGCAACAACAGCAAGGCCACCTCTATGCAGGCATCCTCACTGATAGACTTTTCAGCGTCATGTCTGCTCAATGCTCTACAAGTTTCGTAACTACAACAGTAACATATGCCTTAAACAGACAGGGGTTTTTTCTCCCACCCTGGAGGGTGCCTCCAGGCATGAACAGCCTGGCCACCTCAATGCAGGCACCCTCACTGATAAGACTTTGCAGCTTCAGGACTACTCAATGCTCCACAAGTTTCCTAACTGCAACAGTCACACATGCCTTAAACGAACAGGGGTTCTTTCTCCCGCCCTGGAGGGTGCCTCCAGGCGACAACAGCCAGGCCACCTCTATGCATGAACCTTCACTGACTGACTTTGCAGCTTCCCAACTACTCAATGCCTTACATGTTTCCTAATTGGAACTGCCACACCTGCCTTAAACAGACAGGGGTTCTTTTTCCCACCCTGGAGGGTGCCTCCATGCAACAACAGCCAGGCCACCTCTATGCAGGCACCCTCACTGATAAGACTTTGCAGCATCATAACTACTCAATGCTTTACAAGCTTCCTAATTGCAACAGTTACACATGCCTTAAACAGACAGGGGTTCTTTCTCCCATTCTAGAGGGTGGCTCCAGGCAACAACAGCCAGGCCACCTCTATGCAGGCACCCTTACTGACCAACTTTGCAGCTTCATGACTACTCAATCCTCTACAAGTTTCCTAACTACAACAGTCACACATGCCTTAAACAGGCAGGGGTTCTTTCTCCCACCCTGGAGGGTGCCTCCAGGCGACAACAGCCAAGCTACCTCTATGCAGAGACCTTCACTGACTGACTTTGCAGCTTCATGACTATTCAATGCCCTACAAGTTTCCTAACTGGAACAGACACACAAGCCTTAAACAGACAGGGGTTCTTTCCGCCGCCCTGGAGGGTGCCTCCAGGAAACAACAGCCAGGCCACCTCTATGCAGGCACCCTCACTGATTTGACTTTGCAGCTTCGTGACTATTCAATGCTCTACAAGTTTCCTAATTGCAACACTCACACATGCCTCAAACAGGCAGGGGTTCTTTCTCCCACTCAGGACATTATTCCACAGAGGGTGCCTCCAGACAACAACAGCCAGGCCACCTCTATGCAGGCACTCTCACTGATAAGACTTTGCATCTTCAAAGTCTAATTGGAACACTCACACATGCCTTGAACAGACAGGGGTTCTTTCTCCCATCCTGAAAGGTGCCTCCAGGCAACAACAGCCAGGCCACCTCTATGCAGAGACCCTCACTGACTGACTTGCATCTTCAGGACTATTCAATGCTCCACAAGCTTCCTAATTGGGGTTCTTTCTCCCATCCTGGAGGGTGCCTCCAGGCAACAACAGCCAGGCTACCTTTATGCAGAGACCTTCACTGACTGACTTTGCAGCTTCGTGACTATTCAATGCCCTACAAGTTTCCTAATTGCAACAGTCACACATGCCTCAAACAGGCAGGGGTTCTTTCTCCCACTTTGGAGGATGCCTCCAGGCAACAACAGCCAGGCCACCTCTCTGCAGGCACCCTCACTGACTGACTTTGCAAACGAGGTGGCCACTCAATACTATTCAAGGTTGCCAATGGCAACACCCACACCTGCTTGAAACAGAAGGCTTCTTCCCCAAATCCTCTTAAAGAGACACACACAACCCCTTTTCCCTGCTGGAGGAGAGCCCCCCCCCCCGCCCGTCTCCTTGGCCCCGCCACTCACGTGCCAAATGGCGAAGAAGATGAGGGCGGCGGTGAGGAGCAAGGCCAGCATGTAGCAGAAGGCCGCGAACGTGAACGCCATGATGGCGGCGGCGCTGAGAGGAGGAGAAGGAGGAGGAGGAAGCGCAAGGCACGCCGGGAAGGAAACAACGCCGAGCGAAGGGAAAGCCCTGATTGGTTCTTGGACCCTGAAGGAGAGGAAGCCCACACTGCGCAGGCGCGGCGGGAGCCCCTGGCGGCGAATGGCGGAATTGCGGCAGCACACAAGCTCTTCTAAATCGCCAGAGAAAAGGGACACTGCGCAGGCGCAGCAGGAGCCCCTGGCGGCGAATGGCGGAATTGCGGCAGCACACAAGCTCTTCTATATCTCCAGATAAAAGGGACACTGCGCAGGCGCGGCGGGAGCCTCATTCTCGAGAAGGAATGATGCCCCGCAGCGGCCACTAGCGGCGGAAGGAGAGAAAAGAGATACTGCGCAGGCGTAGCTCTCAACGAAGAATAATAACCCGCAGCGGCCACTAGCGGCTGAAAGTGGAATTGCGGCTGCTTTAAAAAAATCTATATAAA